CTTATCCAACAAAACTCGCCATAGGAAACATCTTCATTCCTATCAGGAGGCAATACGTACAGTGCAGAAACTCTTCTCCTCTGTATGTATTGCATCTGCAGAGTCTTGTCCAGCAGAGCTGTTTAGGGTGGTGGGGGAACTGACACAAGTGCCCCCTGTGCAGAACCCTCTACTTAACTCAACAATGGCCTGCTGTGATGCATTTAACATCTACTTTGCAGATAAAATCTCTCGAATAAGAGCCAAGCTGGATGCCAGTGTTTTGACAGAATCCATAGACGAGGCGTCAGTAACTCCGCTGATGGAATTTTACTGGATAAGCTTCGATCTGTGAGTACCGATGACGTGGACAAGCTCCTTGGTAGAGTGAGGAAGACGACCTGCCCTCTCGATCCATGTCTATCTTGGCTGGTCATCAAGGGGGGGCGACGCATTGAGGGCATTCCTTTGGGATACTATCAATGGGTTTTTTAGGGAGGGCATTGTTCCATCTTGCTTAAAGGAAGCGGTGGTTAAGCCCCTCCTGAAAAAGCCTTCCCTGTAACAGTAACAACTATAGACCAGTCTCCTTGCTTCCTTTTTTAAGCAAAGTTGGTGGCGGAGCATTATGTCAGTTTCTGTAAATCAGGGATAGGCAACCTTTCCCCTTTAAGGGCTGAGGGACTTCAGCTCCCAGAAGCCTCAGCCATGTTGGCCAATAGTCCCATGTTGGCCAATAGCTCCTGGGATTCTGGGAGCTGAAGTCCCTTGGCCCTTAAAGGGGAAAGGTTGCCTACCCATTCTGTAAATATTGCTGTATTGTGCTTGTAAATACTTTTCTGCAACTAAGATTAAAAAGCCTCTTCAGAACCCCAGCAGTCATGAGTGACTTTCCAGACTTGGCAGTGGCGTTTGTTTCCTGGCTGGCAGCCTTCAGTGTACGGACTCACTTTTCCCTCTGCGCTAACAACTTTAACTGCCATGACTCTATCCTATACAAGATGGGACCTGTAGTTTTGTGAGTGTTCGTGAGCAGAGAAGGCTAAAGACCTTGTGAAACTATAAATCCCAGGATACCATAGGATGCAGCTACAGCACTTAAAGTGGTGTCAAACTGCATTATTTCTACAATTGTCATGAAATAGACAGCAGCACCTTTAGACAACCAATCAGTCAGTTTAATCAAAGAATTAACAGAACTTTATTGGAAGATCCATA